GAGGAAACTCACCATGGAGAGATGGAGGAAACAATACGTTTATGCTCCACGGCACACATAAGTAGGATATAAATTGAAATGCTCTATTTTAAAAGCAATCTACTCTCCGTACTAATGATCATCCTAGAACACAAAACCAAAGTAATTAGGTCATAGCAATGACTTACAGACCCTGATTTATTAGGAGGCTGCCAAGAGTATAAACAGCACTGCACTGAAGACCTACTAACACACAAAGTACCCTAACATACACTACAGATGTGCTCACAAGTTTTACATAAATAACTGCTTTTAAATACCAGAGACATTTTCTTCAGTACATGCCTGGGGAACCATGCCGGAGACCAATAACTACTTGATGGGTACCCTGCAACTCTCTGCCCCAACCACTGAAATTCTGATCCCACATGCTGCCTTTACTACAGTAACTCTGCCTTCACAGCCCTGGTCCAGGACCAGACAAACAGAACAAAACAGTTCAAAAAAACAAAATCAGTTAGGTTGGAAAAGACCTCTGAGATCATCAAGTCCAAGCTATGGCCAAACACTACCACAGCACTGAATGCCATGTCCAGTGTTTCCTTATACACTTCCAGGGATCGTGACTCCACCACCTCCCTGGGCTGCCTGTTCCAATGTCTCATCACCCCTTCTGTGAAAAAMTTCTTCCTAATGTCCAGTCTAAAACTACCCTGGCCCATCTTAAGACTGTATCCTCACTGATTGTCTGAGAGAAGAGGCCAACACCSAGCTGGCTACAACCTCCTTTTCTTCAAGCTAAACAACTCCAGCTCCCTCACCCATTCCTCATATGGCTCATTCTCCAGGCCCTTTCTCAGCTCTGTTGCCCTTCTCTACACTCACTCCMRCACCTCAATGTCCTTCCTGAATTGAGGGGCCCAGAACTGAAYACAGCCCTGGAGGTCTGGCCTCACCAGTGCCAAGTACACTTCCCTAGTCCTGCTGGACAATATCACTGATACAGGCCAAAGATTTTACTCCCCTTTCTTAAGTAGCCCATCTGCCAAAACCTTCATTAGAACCCCACCACCTTGGCTATCTGACCCTTCAGGTTCACCCCATGCCCACCCTCACCCTCCTTGGCTGGCAGGGCTCACACAGGGGTGAGCCAGCCTGGCCTGGGCTGCTGAGTGCTTCCTTGCACCGGGCAGGCAGCTGCTCACACCCCACACCTCACACCTGGCTGGAGAAGCTCCCAGAATCACAAATTATTCTGAGTTGAAAGGGACCCACAAGGATCATCGAAGTCCAACTCCTCACCCTGCAAAGGGCAACCCCAAGAGTTACACCATGAGCCTGAGAGCATTCTCCAAAAGCTTCTTGAGCTCTGTCAGGCTTGGTGCTGTGRCCACTTCCCTGGGGAGCCTGTTCCAGTGTCTAGCCACCGTCTGGGTGAAGAATCTTCTCCTAATATCCAACCTAAATCTCCCCTGACACAACTTCAGGCCATTTCCTTGGGTCCTGTCACTGGTCACCACAGAGAAGAGAACAGTGCTGCCTCTCCTCTTCCCCTCACAAGGAAGCTGTTGACTGCTATGAGGTGTCCCCTCCATCCCCTCCAGGCTGAACAGACCGAGTGACCTCAACTGCTCCTTCTAAGTCTTCCCCTCAAGRCCCTTCACCATCTTCGTTGCCCTCCTTTGGACACTCTCCAAAAGCTTTATATCCTTCTTACACTGTGGTGCCCAAAACTGTACACAGGTCTCARGGAGAGGCCGCCCCAGTGCAGAGCAGAGCGGGACAATCCCTTCCCTTGACCGGCCGGCGATGCTGTGCGTGATACCCCCAGGACGCAGTCGGCCCTTCTGAGTGCCAGGGTACTGCTGGCAGC